CTTTGTTCTTAAAATGAAGCATTGGATCCTATGACAGAATCTCAGGAGTGGCTGGCTCATCTCCTGGCTGTCAGAGGCTGTGAGGAGCCCCGAGGAATCACACCATGGCCCTTACGTGCATGGGGGCTGCCCACCCGGAGAGAAGCTGCCCCATCTCAGAACCAGGGCCTGGGTCTCCTTAGCCCCCTGTTCATCATCGAGTGGATATCAGCTTTCCTTTCATGTTGTGAGCCAAATGGCGCTTGAAGCAAGCCGAGTTCCACAGAGAACACAGGCATCTTCCAACCTTCCTAGTTTCAGGAAATACTGATATCTCGTGTGTGTGTGTGTGTGTGTGTCTGTGTGTGTGTGTCTGTGTGTGTGTGTGTGTGTGTGTGTGTGTTGGGGCTTGAACTCAGGGCCTTGCAATCTTGCTTGGCTTTTCCACTCAAGGCTGATGCTTTGCCTCTTGAGTCAGACCTCTCCACTTCCATTTCTTTTGCTGATTAGTAGAACCTAAGAGTCTCTCAGATGTGTGTGTCTGCCTAGGTTGGCTTTGAACTGTTATCCTCAGATCTCAGCCTCCTGAGAAGTTGGGATTACAGGAATGAGCCGCTGGTACCTGGCTTCTCATATCTGTGCTTAGAACAAGTTTAAGTGGTTAAGTCAGGACCCTCAACTTCTTTCTCATCCCACACTCCTGATCGGGTGTTTAGGCTAATAATATATTCCTCGCTGCTGCAGAATGATTAATCCTAGGAAGCAGTATCTGAGCAAAAGACGCGGTGAGTTGGGGCAGCTTGAGTGACTGATACACCATTCCTGATGTCAGTGGCTGTAGATGACCTTGTTGGAAAATGACTGAAACAGTTTGAGGGCTGAAGAACAAAGGTGGCACTGGAGAAGGGGTGGGCTGTGTTGAAGAGCCAGACACAAGTCAAGACTGGCAGCACCCAAGGGACCCTCATTCAGAAACGGTTTGCATTCAGTGGGTGTTTCTGTAGTGCTGGAATTTGAAGTCAGGACCTGGCACCCCCTAGTCAAGCCCTGTACCATTTGAGCAACATCTTATGTTGCGTTAGCGGGAGTGGGGGGGGGGGGGGAGATAGTCATTTCCCTGATTCATCGAGAACAAGCAGCATAAAGAAATAAGCGGGCGATGGGAAATGGAGGGAAGGAAGTGTAGGTGTTTCTCTCACATGGTTTGTGTTCTCATCAGACTATGAATGGAAATGATCAGCTCCAGGATAGAGAGGGGAAATGGCTTGGAATAACTTGGGGTGGGGACAGCCGGGGAGAAATGGAAGGCTTGCTTGACAGCCAAGCTCTGCTGAATTTTTAGACACACTAACCTACACCGGGAAGACAGAAATTTATCTTCAGATGAACACGTCATCACATTAAAATTCAAATGCCTAGAGCCACGTACGTGTGTGTGTGTGTGTGTGTGTGTGTGTTGGTACTAGGACTTGAACTGGGGGCCTGGGCCCTGTCCCTTAGTTTCTTCACTCAAATGCACGCAGGCATGCAATGTCAGGAAAGTTAATCTGTGGCCAGTTCTCAGCCTCTGCCCCTAGAGATCTGAGCTGAGCTCAAGGCTGATGTTCTACTAATTAAGCTACTCGGCTCTCCTTGCATTGTTCTTACCTTGGCTGGCTTTGAACCTTGGTCTTCAGATCTCAGTCTCCTGAGTAGCTAGGATTACACGTGTGAGCCACTGTCACTTGGCCAACATTCCTGATTTTAACTTGAGATACTCAAACATACCAGGGCTCCGGGCAGCAACCATCAGATATCCCAAGCGATGATCCATCCCAAACCATCTGCCCAAGGACTACACACTGGCCGCCGTGGGCTGGGCCTGTCTGGTGCTGGCCGATCCTCGTCTGCTTTGCTGAAGGCAGGTGCACCATCACCCGATAACACAACAACCCGAAGTCCTCAACTTAAAAATAACCACATCTGCTCATTTGCATTGGGAGCGTTGCATTTCATATTTGGGTTTTCATCCCCTAATGCTAAAATGCCTTTGCCTGACCTAGTTACGTGGTTTCGAGGTTCAATCAATAAGAGCGCTTTGTGGTTTTCTACTTGGCACCCCCAGACCCACCTCCCACCCGTTACTGCAGTGATCCTCAGATGAATTATGGGCTCAAAAGTCCAACATTGATTTCCCTCAAGTCTCTCGGCTTTGAAGAGTGTCTGTCTGCCAGGACATCTCTCCACCTTCAGAAGTCAATCCGGGCTCTGCTGCGGGGGGTGGGGTGGGGCAGCCCTCCAGGACTGGCGGCTCGCAGCCCTGCCCTGGGACTCCCTGGCACCGGGTGTGAGGGCAGCAGTTCCCGAAGAAGGTTGGAGCGGAGCCCGGAGAAGGTGTTGATGAATCATCCTGGGTCCTCGTTCTGTATAACGGCGATTACTGGGATCGATGGCTTCAGTGCCTTCTTAGCCAGGGTTCAGGTGGCTTGAAGCACCCAGATTAAGACACATCGGAGCCAGATGCGCACAGGCATGCAGTGTTGGGGAAATTATCCAGGGCTAATTCCCAGCCCTTCCTTGCCTTCTGGTACTTAGGCCCATGAGGTCTCTGCTGTGGCTGTGGGGATGAAGCCCATGGGGGGAAAAGGAGGTCTCTTATGGACGTGTGTGTGTGTGTGTGTGTGTGTGTGTGTGTGTGTGTGTGTGTGTGTGTGTGTGTGTGTGTGTGTGTGTGTGTGTGTGTGTGTGTGTGTGTGTGTGTGTGTGTGTGTGTGTGTGTGTACACGCCAGCACTGAGACTTGAACTCAGGGTCTGAGCACTGTCCCTAAGCTTTTTCACTTAAGGTTAGCAATCTACCACAACTCCATTTCTGGCTTGTATGTGTGTGTATCTGTCTGTCTGTCTATCTGTCTCATTGGAAATAAGAGTCTCATGGACTTTCCTGCCTTAGCTGGCTTTGAATGGCGATCCTCAGATCTCAGCCTCCTGAGTAACTAGGATTACAGACATGAGCCACTGTGCCTGGCTTATTTATGGACTCTTAATGAGATGTGAGATAATGTTCCCTCCAGGGTTTCTGACTCCGTGGGTCTTGGCGGAAGCCCAAGAATTGGCATTAGTAACAAGGTGAGCTAGGATGGTCCTGCCGTTACAGGACCACACATCCTCTCTTGAGAAGCACTAGGGTAATCATGCCGTGTTTGAACACTAGGACCAGGCTGCTCAGCTTTCATCTGATGCTGTGATGCACTAGCTGTGTGATCCTGGGCTGTTTACTTAACCCCTCAGTGCTTCTATTCTGCCTTTTGAAAGCAGAGATGAGCCGGGCACCGGGTGGCTCACGCCTGTAATCCTAGCTACTCAGGAGGCTGAGATCTGAGGATCAAGGTTCAAAGCCAGCACAGGTAGGAAAGTCTATGACTCTTATCTCCAATAAACCACCAGAAAATCAGAAGTGGCACTATAGCTCAAGTGGTAGAGCACTCGCCTTGAGCTGAAGCGCTCAGGGACAGTGCTCAGGCCCAGAGTTCAAGCCCCAGGACCGACAAAAACAAAAACAAAAAACAGAGATGATAATAGGATTTACCCCTGGGAGGTTTGGCAAATATGTGAATGCATCTTGAATGTGTTAGGTACCCGTATAGCGCACGCTCTTGAGTGTGCTACATAAAAAGCCTTTTAGCACTGGGATCCGATCAAGTCCAGTCTCATTTTCCCATCACCTGCAGCCACACCTCCACCCCCACCCCGCCCCATGGAGCCCATTAGCCTCCAGCCCCATCTGTGGTGGCTGAGAAAGTCGCTGCCCAGCTTAGTACCAGCAGGAGGGTGTTTATCCCAGCATCCATCAAAGTCCTCTTCCCAGACTGCGCCAGCCCTTCAAAGCTCGACACCGTGACAGGACAGCGGGACCCACTAAGCCCTGCCAGGCTGGGCTCGCAGTTCAGCTTTCTCTCCCTCGCTGGTCCACCCAAGCAGAGAGGCTGCTGTTTCTGGTCAGAAACTGTGTTTCCACCGCAGCTACATGCTGATCATTGCCCTTGGGTGAAGGAATCCTTCGCTCTGACTCACACACACACTTTGGTTTGGTTTTGTGGGGACCAAATCCCAAGGCTTTGTGTACACACAGCCTGTACCCCACCACTGAGACACACCCAGCCTTCTTGCACTCAGTGTGTGTGTGTACACGCGCGTGTGCACTGCCATGGGGGCTTGAACTCAGGGTCTTGTGTTCATACTTGGCTTTTTTACTCAAAGCTGGCACTCTACCACTTGAGCCAAACCTCTACTTTCTGCTTTTTTGCTGATTAATTGGAGATAAGAGTTTCAGATTTGTCTACCTGGGCTGGCTTCAAACTTGTGTCTTAGATCTTAGCCTCCTGAGTAGCTAGGATTACAGGTGTGAGCCATGGATGCCCGGCTTGCTCTACCACTTGAACTACCGCGCCACCTCCAGTTTTCTGCGTGGTTTATTGGAGATAAGAGTGCTTTTTTTCTGCCTAGGCTGGCTTTGAACCGTGATCCTCAGATCTCAGCCTCCTGAGTAACTAGGATTACAGGCGTGAATCACCAGTGCCTGGCTCACTTTAGCTTTTATAATGTCACTCTTAAATAATGCTTATGATTCCTGTTTGAATACTAGGGTTCAGAGAAGTTATATAACTTCCCCAGAGTGAGCTGTTAAACAGCAGGTGTGTCTGGCCTGAGTATTCTATGACTATGGAAAGGTAAAGTGAGGTCTTGAGCCATGGTGGTCTCTCCCAGTGCTGGAGCCTGACCCTCACTTCAAGGATTTGCTTCTCTATAGCCAAGTGGCAGGATCCCCTCGAACATACTTCTTCTGGAAATACTCTCTTGGGCCCTGTGGCCTTCCATAGCCATGACTGTCTGTGGTCTGACTGGAGAAACATAATCACGCTCCAGCGGCGGCTTTGCGTATCTAAACGTCGTGATGGATGTAGTACCTTGGCAATCTTGCTCTCAAATCGTGCTTGAAAGGAAGGGAAAGTCATGCTAATGGAAGTTTTCCTTCTCTCCACAGTGCTCCTTTCTGCCGAAATTCTCCATCCACATAGAAACCAAGTACGAGGACAACAAAGGGAGCAACGACAGCGTGAGTAGCTTGTGGCCTTGTGTGCTGTGCAGCCGTGCCGTTTCCAGAGTCTCTATGACCAGGGCGGGCGGCAGAGTCTGCGCCCAGGACCTCCGAGATGTCCTGTTTGGCCTAGTCCCTGTGGCTCGTTGAGATGTGCTTTCCCCCGACCCCAAAAACCTCTGTGATCTTTACTTGCAATGACTATCATTAGAGGCGGAGAGGATGATGGGAAACGCAGCTCCCCGGGGTTTGGTTCTGACCATTGGATTCAGTACAGATGTTTTCGGCGGCTATTACTTGACTTGGAGAAGTGACTCGAGTCAGATCTGTGTGTGACCCTGAACCTGATCTCTTACCTCATGCTTAGGTGGGCCTATCTGTACATTCACACATATCCCACCCGAAAAAATCGGGGGCACCTAGGGAAAACCTTTACCCTGCATGGCATCCTGACTCTTAGGCATTTGGGCCAGGAACTTGGTGTATTCGTATTGCTTAAAATCCATTGTCTCACTGGGCTGGGCTGGGCTTTGTGTGTGTGTGTGTGTGCGTGCACGCGCGAGTGCGTGCGTGCGTGAGTGTGTGTGTGTGTGCGTGTGTGTGTGTGTGTGTGGTGGGACTTGAAGTTAGGGCCTGGGTGCTATCCCTGAGCCTCTCTGTGCTCAAGGCAAGCTCTCTACCACTTGAGCCACAGCACCACTTTCCGGTTTTCTGGTTAATTGGAGATAAGAGTTTCATGGACTTTCCTGCCCAGGCTGGCTTTGAACCACGATCCTCAGATTTCAGCCTCCTGAGTAGCTAGGCTGACAGCCGTGAGCCACCAGCCCCAGGCCTGATGTGCTGTTCTGACTCTCCCTGGCTTCTTTGTTCTTGAGTAATTAGGACTGCAAGCCTGAGCCACCAGCTCCTGGCAAGGGCTCCAGCTCCTCTTCTGTCCGGAGTGGAAGCAGAGTTCAGGACTGGTGGGCAGAGGTGGGCATCCGCCTTCCTCCACACGCGCTGCCAGGTTATTTAATAAAAGCTCAGTTCATTTCTACATGCTCTGAATGTCAAATCTTATCATTCGGTTGCCATCCTTCTTGCCACTATCTCTAACCTGATTTCCTCCCCTACCTGCCAAAACTTTAATGAAATGGCTGATGATAAGAAGCAATAATTAAATGGAAAGACGATAGTGATAATCACATGGATTAGTGGCGGAATAGAGCACATGTTATTATCTTATTATCAATGATCATATAAGTCATATTTTTACACCCTCCAAATTCTAGTTAAAAAAAGGAACAAGAAAGAAAGAGTGTTTATAGGATGACTAGATAGAAATACCGCTTCTCGCTAAAAAAAAAAAAAAAAAAAAAAGCTGCAAACTGTGATTACTATAAGCCTGGCCATCAGAGGGGAAGTCGTCTCCCAATTGAGGCCCATTTATGTTACGCACCTACTGAGGAGAATTATTTAAGCCTTAATGAGTGCTGGGCGGAGGCTGGCACCGGACCAAAATGAGGTTCTGTTGTTTGTGTAAGGCCCTAATTCTGGGTTTAAGAGAGTCATTGTTCAGCTCGGCCTGGCTCAGCAAAAGGCTCAGCCACGTGTGTGACACCTGCTGCAGGTGACTGGTGTCCCAGGGGATAATGGGGGTGGCCTGGCCCCTATTCCTTTTTCCAAACAAAACCCCAGCGTCTCTTAACAGCAGCGGCTCTGACATCACCTGAGAAGTTTGACCATTGGCTCCCGCCTGGATTCTCCATCCCCACCCCCTCTCACCCCGGGGGGAGGGGGTTTCATTGCCTTTGTTGGCCCCACTGCAGCTACCATGGAGGAAGGATCTCACACACACCCTTCCAGGGGGCTGAATTCTGGGTGTGGTTGTGGGCATGCTTGTAAAAATGGCCCATGCTCTGTTTGGCTTGACCATTCGAGCCTCAGCCAGCCAGGGCCTAGCTGGGCAAGTCACCTGAGAAGCTGGCAGTCATGGATGCCCCCAGGCTGGCCTGTGCTTTGTTTTGTTTAATCTGTTAGTATAAAGGTGAGGTACCGAGGGGTTACAGTTACGTAAGTCCGGTCACGAGTACATTTCTTTTTGGACAATGTCACCCTGCTTTGCTTTGCTTTTTTTTTTCTCCTTCTTCTTAATGCCAGTGTTGGGGGCTTGAACTCAGGGCCCAGATATTATCCATTTGCTCTTTTGTTCAAGGTTGGTGCTCTGCTAACAGCTCCACTTCTGGCTTTTTGCTGGTTAATTGGAGAAAAGAGTCTCAGACTTTCCTGCCTAGGCTGGCTTTGAACTACACATTGCAGCCTCCTAAGTAGCTGGGATTATAGGCATAAGCCACAGACACCTGACCAGGCACGAGGATTTCTAAAACTCTCCCAGGGGGACCTAAGGGACAACATGACTGAGACCTAACAGATTTAAGACACAAACACTCAAGAAAGCAAAATCTTTGGATGCCTTTTCTTTTCCTACTGCTGAAAATAGAACATTTTCCAAAAAGCCTGTTTGGCTGTAACCGCCACCCTGCTGTGGGGCCCAAGACACTGTATATATTCTTATTAGTCACATTATCGACAAAGACAGTATTCCTCAGCTAGGAAAGTCCGATAAGCAAAGAACGTCTAGTTCTTTTTCAGTTCCTGGAAACTAAGCTCTGTCTCTCACAGAGCTCTCCCGAGAGGTTGACTGAAACAAGTATTTGGAATTTATTTACTGCCTAGTTCATCAAGGTTGGAAGGAAAGAACACAGCGTTGTTCTAGAGACCAAAAGATCATTCCAGCTCCGGCTTTGTGACCTTCAGCAATCCTATTAACCGACTGGAGTCTTGGCTTAACAAGAAGATAGAATAAATAATGCTTGTATCACGCTGGGTGCCGGTGGCTCACACCGTTTGAAGCCAGTCTGAGTAAGAAAATCCATGAGACTCTGATCTCCAATTAACCAGTAAAAAGTCAGAAGTAGGACTGTGGTTCAAATAGTAGAGCACCAGCACGCCTTGAATGAAAAAGTTAAGGGACGGCATCCAGGCTCTGAGTACTGGCGCATGCGTCCCCACACACGAACGCAATAATGCCTCTGTCAAAGCGTGGACGTTTTCTAGAGGTTCGTTTATATGGAAGTTCTTTTTAAACTGTAAGTTCTCATACACATACTAGAGGTAGCCACTGGGCCAGCCATCCTGTGAATAGTATATCTTGGATTGGCTGCGATAATGGTGCTTTGTTCACGAGGCTGGTTTTGTATGAGTTGTTAGTCATTTGTGGTTGTGCACCTGTTATTGGAAGCCAGGCACTAGGAGAGGTGTTGAGGAGACAGCCATCAGAGACCTGTGTTCCCTTGCTCCTGGAGTAGGAGAATTCAGACCACGAGCCAGCAAAGCAAGGAAGGAATCGCAGCTGTAACTGTCACAAAGGCAATAAACAGGATAAAGAGAGCCATGTGGAAGCCATGCAGTCAGAAAGGCCTCTCACAACGCAGGACAATTCCAAGTGGGTCTGAGTTTGGCACGGAGCCTGCCATCTGCTGGTTTTCCAGGCCAGGGGTGTAATCATGAGCTGAGGTGCAACCTTCCACCCCAATTCATCTATCGAAGCCTTCAGAATATGATTGTGTTTGGTGGCAGAGCCTTTAAAGAATGGATTCACTTCAAACAAGGGGATTAGGGTGGGGCCTAATCCAGCATCCTTGTGAGAAGAGAAAACTTGGGCAGTTAAGGAGAAGTTGGTGCACATGCGCACAGGAGAGAACAGCATAGTGAGTTGGCTGACTGTCAGACTAGATGGGAGGACTGGGGGGTGGGGAGGCGGACAACCAACCAACCTTGCCAGCAGCACCCTGCCCTTGAGTTTTCAGCCTCCCCCGGAACTGTGAGATGACTCAGTTTTGTTGTTTAAGCTGCCCAGCATGTAGCAGTATGTTATAGCCTTCACAGCACAGGAATGCAGAGACGCTGAGGGCAAAGACCTTGGTTCCCTGACAGTCAGAAATTCCAGGAACAGATAGAAAATCATTGCCCAGCTGGGCCCCGGTGGTTCACGCCTGTAATCCTAGCTACTCAGGAGGCTGAGATCTGCAGATTGAGGTTCAAAGCCAGCCCAGGCAGGAAAGTCCATGAGACTCTGATCTCCATCCAGTGAACCACCAGAAAACCGGAAGTGGCGCTGTGGCTCACATGGTAGAGCCCTGGCCTTGAGCTGAAGAGTTGAGGGACAGCGCCCAGGCCCAGAGTTCAAGCCCCATGTCCAGCAAAATTAAAAAGAAGATCATTGCCCAGAGGGAAAGAAGGTAGAGAAGTCGATGAGGTTGAACAGAGGGGGAAGCCAGATCGTGGAAGGCATGTGGGGCTGTGGCAAAGAGTTTGGATTGTAGTGCAGGGGGAAGTTAGCCCAGGATTGTAAGCCAAAGAATGGCATGACATGCCCTACAGAATGTTTTGAAATGAACTCTTCATGTTGGTGATCATCTTAGTATGCAATAATGTTGTATAGATGATGAGCGCAGTTTCCTTCCACTGTGCACCACACCTACCCTAATGTAAACATGTCCCTAACTTTGGTGTGTTTGTCCAAACTACATACTTGGTGCAAATTTCGCCACTTTTCCCCTGAAGTCCTAGGTTCTATTCCAGAAACAACAGCAGGATTCCATGTTGCATGATTTATCTTTTTTTTTTTTTGGTTGGTCATGGGACTTGAAATCAGGGCCTTGGCTCTGTCCCTGAGCCCTTTTTGCTCAAGGCTCTACCACTTGAGCCATACTCTACTTTTGGCTTTTTGATGATTAAATAGAGATAAGAGTCTCACGGACGTTCCTTGTCTGGACTAGCTGCAAACCATGACCCTGGGATCTCAGCCTCCTTCCTGAGTAGCTGGGATTACAGGTGTGAGCCAATGACTCTTGGCCCTAATTGCTTTCAAGTTTAACTGCTGATTATTACCTTACATTAGTTAAGACTGATTTCCACAAACAATGGGTTGTTGTTGGTTTTAGGAAATTAGGCTATTCCATTTCCTTAAGTACAAA